TTGGAGTTTTTGCCACAAAGTGACAGGAAGGATAGAAACAGTGTATTATATGTATAAAGAATGGTGAAATGATACTTCTAAGAGATGTACGTAGATTGGGAAGACCGAATAAATATTTTCTGTTTACCATTACTTTTCAAATAGACCTCGTATTCGTATAACACATAATTATACATTAAATCTAGTTTATGTTGATATGTAACTTTAACCCGAGTGAACACTTATCCACAAATTATAATCTATGAAATGGTCGAACTCCTTTTTGCGAGTGAAATCTTTTACAGATATTATGCTTGAATGAGTTGAAGTGACTTGAAGGAAGATGCATTCAAACGAGGCTACTCTACGTATTTGAGTTAATAATAGGCAATCAATTGATGAATTGAGGAATGTTTCGACTGTTGAATATCAATCATAACGACACTACAACATAACACTAACTGTTTTTATTGACTAGTTGTTGCTCTATCTATAGTAATAATGCATGAATATACGAGACATCAGAGCAATGGATCGGCACTTAGTGAATTTCTAGAGAGGCAACGAGAACAATGATATTTTTGTTTATTAGGTATCTACAATGCAACAATTCACACAGAAATGTTTGGGGTCGATTCAATGTTTCCTGGTCCAAGGTCTTACAGAATTACCTCATTGACTTGTTTTTGAATTGTTATTCGAAGTACTTCATTTTCCCTTCAATAATTTCCAATTAATTCTGATTCACTGGCTCGACTACCACTTCATTCATCATATCAGATAAACAGGAAACCAGATACCTAAGTGAAGAGTTCTCCATGTTTTTTTTTAATAGACTATTTCACGAATTGAAAAACAATGTGTTAATTCTAGCTACTGTGAAAGCCCACTGGATTCGTAATGACATCCGCAAATAAATGATTTTAAAAGGTATTCCAAAAATCCAACAAAGGTACAGCAGATAAAAAACTTTCAAAGAGGAGAAAATTTACTAAAAAAATGTCTGCTCTGAAACATTTGAATTATTTTTTTTGTACCGACATTTATAGTCATTATCATGTTATGTATAGTCTTCGTTATTAACTCCGCTATTTGAAATAGGTATTATTTATACTTACTTTTGAATTTGAAAAGAGGTTTTTCGAAATTCTTCACTTCTTAGGAACTATTGAGTATGAATGATTTAAGCAAACAACATTTTTAATGGTTTGAAAACATTTTTGTTGTTTGAAGATTATATATTTCTGCAAGGTTTTGACTCAAATTATTATTTGATTTTAATTTTGGTACATTATACGAAAACTTTCTTTGTATTCAAAAGTATATTCACAATTCTTCTTGTTGGGCCATATTATATTTTAGTAGTTCTTTTTCCCTTGAAATTGTTTTAATGATTCAAATACATTTTTGTTGTTTGAGGATATTATTTAAAAATGTTGATCTTCAATTAATTGATTTTCAATTCTATACATAATACAAAAAACAGTTTTCAATTTGAAAATATATTTGCAATTTCCCTTGTTGGGAAATATATTTTAGAAATTAGTTTTCCCTAAAAATCTCGATGGTTCAAAAACTGTTTTGTTGAATGAGCCCAAAAGTAAGTTTGCAACTGTCTTTATTTGATAGTTGTGTTATTTATATTCTTCATACTTTTTATATTTCATATTTAATTTTTTACAAAATAATTTTCAACACAAAACTGCGTTTTTGGAAGAATCAGGTACTTTTTTACTTCAATTTATACGTGATTAACATTTATTAATTTTCATAGATTCGAATAAAGAAATAAAAAAAAAATAAATGAAACGGAGTTGAAATAAAATGATGATTGATGCATGTATTTCCAAAAAAAACGTATTGAACACCAACTTTTTCAGGTTTCGAAAAAAATGGACTTTTTATCAAAATGTTGTCGGCATTAAAATTTTTTTTTCAATTATTCATTTCATTCATAGGCAAAATTTAGATACCTACTGGTATACTGCGCGGACGTAGTCACCTCCCCTCTTAATTTTTGAAAGAAACTAGATATCAAGATCGGACAAAATTTACGTAAAAAAGTATATCACTTTTAGTACTTTTTGATAAGAGGGGGCGATAAGGAGGCCGTGGATTTTTCGAGTTTAGAGTGTCTACATGATATTATGGTACTGAATGGAGCCTGTGAAGTCATCAGGAGTTCGGATTCTCTTCTCTGTATGATGCGCAACCATGAGAGAGCATTTCTCTTTAGGGTAGCTGCCCGAGCAGCTGGTTAACTCGGTTTATTTCTTGACACTGAACGAGGTGATTACAGCTATGTGACCGTGGGATATTGAATCCGTTGTGGGGAACGAGAAGTGCTGAATTTTTCTGAACTATTCATTTCCCAAACTCACGCTCATACTAGTTAATACGCCTGATATAGTCCTTTTCAACCACCAGAACAAGACGATATTTGTCGTGGAATTTTCAGTTCCTAACGAGACATCGTCCGAAAAGAGGAGGAAAAATATGTATATTTACTCTTCGAATTTCACCGACTCTAACCAAACCATTTTGTCACGGTTGATTATTGATACCCTCTCTACTTTTGATTCTCGAAATCATGACAACTTGCCGCACTAAGGCAGAAATCCTAGCCGGACAAATGCAGAAGACTGTCATTCTTGGCTCACTGCGCTTGCTCAGTGCTCACTTACCCCACGGCGTGGCAAGTGGTAAATAATGCTGGCGTGCCCTCTTGAAAGTATCGGAGATTCGAAGGATAGGGTCCGACTAGCGCAACTTGAGGTTCAAAATATCAAAAATAATAATACCTTTTTATTCATCGTAAACTGGAGGACGAAGTGTCGTTTGAGGAGAGTTATTATAACTTAACCCTGCAATTCATTATGAAATGCTTCTTGGTCAATGTCTTTAGGAGCACCTATTATTTCACCAATGAGACTGCGGTTGTGTAACGTAAACTTTTTCAATCATTAATTTCAATCGTCTCAAAAATCTAAGGGTGTTATATTGGCAGCAGGTCATTCTAAGGGACCACGTTTACCTACTAATTGGTTTATATAATTGTCATCTAACCATTTTTAACGATATTACCCCAGAAAGATTTCAGAATGTATGAAAAAATTGGTGAACATACTTTAATATTATCAAGAGAGAATGATGAACATTTTAAATATACATTTGAATGAACTGAAGTAAGTTTTGAATAAATTTTTTCTTGAAATTATTACATTCATAGTTTGTTTTCAAATTATTAAAACGAATATAAAACTTCTAATCACTCAGGAAAGGTTGATCCGATTTTCAAAAATAACGAAATGTTGGATAGACAATTACGAGTTACCACAAGGTTCACTTTCTATTTGTGAAAAGTTGGTAACGCCTTCTCAATAACGAGTGATGAGTGAGTTTTTAAGAACATAGGCTTTTATGATTAAACCTTGATAGTTTGTTTCTTTCATAAGTTAGGAGGAGGGAGACTGTTTTGCGTCTGCTTTATATATTATTTTTTGGGGTGAACTTTTCATATATATATATTTAGATTTTAGATTGTAGAAGGATAAAAACTATATATACTATAGATTGGTCTACTGTAGTTCTGGATTAACTTTATAAAACTATAATAGAAATGAAGATATGGAAGTCGACATTTTTTCCTGAATTCCCTTCTCTTTGAGAATTTTTTTTAAATTTCTCTAACTTTAATAATTTTTCAAGATATTGAGTTTTCAATCATTTATGTGCGGTTTGAATCCTTTTTATATTCACAGAATGAATTCACAGAAGCAAGAATGGGTAGGTTTTCAAACATGCTAAAATGTTTTGTCGGTACTGATTTAATGATAATTCTGTTAATGAGAAATTTGATTGGTAGAATTGAAACCTCTGACTTGAAATAAATCAATTGAAATTATTTTATCCACATCAGAATAATAATGCTGCCTTTTGACACGTGTTTTGCTAATCAAGTTGTATACATTCGGTCAAAATGTCACTATAGGTATAAGGGTCATTAAATTAATACCTGTAGTACCTATTCGTTATTATTTTAGTGGAAAAAGTGTTTTCAATAAATACCAAAATTATTTATTCGACGCTGTTGAACATTTTTAGCTATAGTTAAACGCTTTCAATCTCTAGGCAAATTATTAGGTGCTTATTAGTTGAGTGAAAGAATATTTTGAAATTGAAGTTGGGCTCTCAATATTTATCTCAGAAACAGATAAACCGCATGAATATACTTCACAAGGTACTGAATTCCTATTTTAGAAACTTCCCGGTACTTTATTTTTAATTCGAAAATACGCGTTATATTCCTTTACCCTTATCACGTCTCATTTCTCTAATATTTTGTCCGACTTCCTACAATTATTTTGTATTGAACAATGTTCAACGGTTTTATAACCGTCTCTGGAAAATCATCAAGTACATTTTATTTCTAAATTATTCAGTATAGATTTCAACTGCAAGCCTATGCAGAATTTTTAGGGGAACATTTGATCTGCCTTAAAAATGTATAATTTCCAAAATTTACAGAAATGAAAACAATAACCTGAGCCGGGGCAAAAGTTCTTGCATGGCTTTCATATATTTAGATACTGATTACCACTGGGATCTGTCCCAACCAAACGCTAAAATAAGAAATACTTCTCCATCTTTATACAAAAAATGTAGAAAAAAATGATCTACTTTCATTTCTTATTATACAAAAACACTTATTACTATTCAGTTTGTATTTCACAGGATTGCTATATGGTAAACGAAAGAGAAAAAAATTCACTTACATAGAACACTGTCATCCTCACTGGTGGAAATCCGATGTATTCTGTAAGACACTTGCCTTATCACCAGTACTAAATCTGGATATCATTATAAAAGATTTTTGGGCTTTCTACTTTTTCATTTTTATACAAAAAATGTAGGAATCTTTCAAAGAAAGAAGGAAGTAATCAATTTTAAAAAAGGTAACTCTATACAAAACTTTCTTTCCCAAAAATATACCTTTTACCTGGAATTTGATGAGAAATTAGTTGACTTATGGAGCGGGAAGGTAAGATAGATCAACCGTACAAGAATAAATGAACCCACGAATTCTTACCGTATGACAAAATGACTCGTATCGATATGAAAAATTCAGTTAACGAAAGCCGTATATGAATTAATCACCTTTGCATATATAACTCACTTTTTGCGTATGTCGTTTGGTTAGGAAAAATCCCAGTCCTAATTATTATCTAAATTTATAAAACACTCACAAGAACTTTCGTCAAATTATTATTTTTACTTGGTTGAAACTCATTCTCATTTTCTACTTCTGACTATAAAAATAATATATTTTTGAGAGGTATCACAGCACCCCAAAAAATTTAGCACAGGCTGGCGATCTATCAAATTTGCTAAGCACCTTTCCAGTTCATTCACGTCAACAGATATTTCTCTGTGGAAATGAAGAAAGGCCGTTTCTTTCTTCTACTCATTAACTGTGGAAGCGATTTTTCTTCATCCTTCGTGTTTATGCTTCAGTTTCTTCAGAAGATTTGAGTATCTCATTTGTAGAAGACTATTGACGCTGTTTTTGTGAATCGGTATAGACGAAAGCTTTTCGAAAGGCGTGTGTTTATATCAGAAACCGGCTTTCATGAGACATTCCACGTCTTCATCCTCCTCGGAGCAATCTGATGGTGTTGGAGATGGTGAAGAAGCATTCCCTATCAAGGCCTCACCTAGAGACTGTTGACGTGAGAGACTAGGTCGCCGTGAGGTAGCATGGGCGAACCAAGACGGTCTTCTCAATGATGAAGTTGCGAAAACTTCTTCTGGTATGATGTCTCTAGTGATTGATCTACACACAAGAAAGCAGGGTATGATAACAATAACTGAAGGAGTTGAATAGGTAGAGATGTGCCATAATATATTGAATCATTCAGGTTTAGGAAGTTATTCTTCATCTGTAACATGAACATTGTTGATTTTATTTATCGGTAGAAGTATCGTATGTCCCTTGATGATTCAATTTTATATAAAGGAAAAATAGCTATTAGGAATGTTTCCCCGTTTTTATCACATTCAGAACCATGCGAAAAAGAGTACTGCAAAATAACAGTCGAAAAGTAGGTTATGTTCAATCTTAAAGTAAACCGATTCCACAATGATACTCGTATCTCTCAAGCTTCGGAAAAACACCGACTATCTATAATAAAATGTTTGAAATATATTGTAGCTGCTTACTGAAAAAATAAATGAATGTTGAGCGTGGTATTGGCCGGGAAAGTAGTTGTTCTCCGGTATGCATTTACCAGAACCTACTGTGTAAGTTCGTTGAAAGAGATATATGTTTTGAAATTTTATTACGAAGTATTCTTTTTCTCATCTACATATTATTTGATTAGTTACATTCATGAATTGATTTGAGATATTGTTTATTTCCCAAACAACTGAAAACTATTCAAAAAGTGGTCCTGTTGAAAATATTTAGGTCCTAGTACTGAATCTTTCTTCATATATAATGAAGAAGGGCTATGTTTAGCCTATGGTTTTCAACAATTCATATATAATCTTTTGAATTTAAAATTTGCTACTGAAATGACAAGAAACGACCAAGGTGATCAAAAGAACACGTTACTGATCATTTGAGAAATCTCAACGAAAAATTATCGGATTTCTGTATATGATCACTGTATCGACCACTGACCACAACGCACTACTTGAATTGAATTGTTCAAAACAGTTTTTAAATTCACTTTTCGAGATGTCCCTCAGGCCTTCCAGCATCTTCCACAGATAACCAATCGCCTGTACACTGAAGAACTGTTCTTTTCTTCCGTATACGCTCCCTCAAACTTTTCAAAACCTCCAAGAAGAACTTCTAGTTGACAGCTTGACTCAGAAGAACGTACTTAACGTGCACAACACTTCTATAATCGAAAAAACAAATGAACATCTCCTTGATGTTTGACTTCACTTGGAGAGCTTCTTTGGGATGAGGAGAAACACATGTCTTACACTGGCTTGATTGCTGTTTTGTTTCGGTTTGCTAATCATGGCACCACGATTCATCACCAGTAATTACCTTGTAGTCTTTGACCCGATTTTGCAACACAAAATATATCTGAAGTCAACGCTCTCTTTGCTCGTCTGTGAGAAGGCAAAAGACAAATTTGGCTGCAACCTTTTCATTTGCAACTCATCTGAATTGAACTATTCCAGACATTGTACTGAGTTTATCAATGGTTCGGGGATGGTTTTCACGAAAGGGTAGATTGATTTTGTCCAGGTTTTGGTCAGTTCTCCATTTGTAAAACATGAAAACCACTTGTAGATTCTGGTTTTACTTAGGGCGGTATTTCCAAATGCAATCTTAAGTATTTCATTAGTTTCCGGGGCCGATTTCTCTAACAGAAAATAAAATTTCACTGACGTGCATTATACTCGATGATCTGACAACTCCTCTTCGTAGGAATCAAAAAATTCTCACGCTGGCTCAGGAGGAATGACCCTAACAAACACTGGGAAAAAAAAGGAATTCCCCAACCCCCCCCAACAACCCAACCCAAGTCCCTTTTTTTTGAGTTCCCTCTCGTATTGTGATATACCTACTTATTGTCCACCAAAAAACAATTCGGAAAGTCCTTACATTCAACGATGGCCACGAAAGTGGATGTTAAAATAAGTAATATTATAAGAAAAGCAACCATGCTTTTGCTCTTTCAAAGTATTGTGATTTTTTGGCTGAGATAGATTTTGCACATTTTTTGCACATGTCATTGACAATTCCTGCGTAAACGTCAGGAACGTGAACAGGATTTTTTAGTAATTTCATTTATACAAATTATAAAGGGGGGTTCCATTGTTTTAACTATTTAATTCAGTAAGTAAATAGACTGAATGAATTTTTTCTCGACGCTTAGTTCAGATTTTTGATAATATAAACAAATACCCATTTATTTATTTATTTCAGTGCATATTGTGTTCATAATGTTTAACGTTGCATTCACATCATTCCCAAACTTATTTTTCCTCTGTGATATCACTTTTGAAATATCTTGAGAGATTCTTAAATATGGCACATCTCGTATATTCTCTGTACCGATATTTGATATATAGCTTCATTATGCTCGTTGACCATTGGCATTCCAAAAAACTTTTCCATATATCGAATATCAGGACAACCATTTTGTTTCAAGGACAGTTAGTAGATTAGTGGTCTATGAAAATGTAAGATTAAACGAATATTGTTAGACATGCTGACATATAGACAATTAGAGGATCATGCTTAGGAATATTTTCACCCTTTCATTTATTGAGCATGAGCAGGTATTTGCAACCAGAACAGTTCAATAGATTTCATTGATTGTTACCAAAACACCTTTCAATATTCTGTAACACCTCAGTCATCCAACATCAACTGATTTTTTTTGAAACTGAAAGTTATGAAATATAGGTATGGAAAAATGAAAATATTCGCCACCATTAGACTGATAAATGAATTAGTTTTTTATTAGTTCGCCATATTTTTTGTTGAACTATTTGTGTTTGGTTAGAATGATGTGAAATCAAAGCATGAACGACCCTAGTGACAGAACTGTATTGTCCGTGAAGTTGTTATTTAAGGTTATGCATGATTTTTTTCTTGTATATAAAGCAATGGTATTCATGACCTTCATCCAAGAAGAGCATCATGAGAGTTTCCTAGTCCCCAAATCAGTTACGCCCTGCAGATTATTCAAAACGAATTTCAATATCTTCCAAGCAGCTTTCTCTTTCGTGCAGTCCTTACAGCTTCTCAATTCACTTCATTCTTTCTTTTGGATTCCCTCGCACGAGCAGTTTCGAATGGTGAATTTATGTTTAGTTTTTCAAAAACCCATTCGTGTATCTTGTTCGATATGGAATAACAATAAATTTCTGAATATTATCTTGAAAATTCGAGGATTTGAGTGGGGTGTTGGAAAATCGAAAACATCCAAAAATATTGATTCCTTCTGAAAAAATGTATTAGAAAAATAATATGCTCAATTTTTTTCATATTTTCAATTTTGAGTTTTGAAATGTTGGAGTGCATCTAGAAACCTTATAACTTGATGAAATTTCTACACACTGCGATTATTAGCACATCCAACCCGTGCTAGGAATCGCCCGTTAAAAGGTAGGATCTCGTTAATTCATAGCTCAGACAAATTTCGACTTTTGAGGGTTGTCGTTCATAGGGAGGTGACATCTGGTTATCAGAAAACAGATATCAAGAGACAGAGAGTAGGCAGAAATAATGTCTTGAAAGTTTTCTTTCGATGGGTAATATTAAATGTTTACAAAATTTTTTTTAGGATTGCACGTAAGGATAGGCTTTTCAGTATCATCCACAAAGCATTGTTTTTTTTCTACTGGATAAAACAAAATCATAGGTCTCATCATTTCCTGAGCTGCTGTGATTTTTTTATTTTTATTAGTTATACCATTATATTTATTCAAAATTGTGTTATATGCATGTATATATGTATTAACAGAAATTATCTCTATTTACAATAATCATGGGCAATATGACGCACATTTTGAAATGTTTGTAATTGTATTGAAAATTTGAAGATAGGTATTCATTTTTTATGTACACATATTAATATTTTTAATTTTTTTTTGACGCATTCATCGGAATAAATACTCTTCCACTCTTGTAAATGATTAAAAAATACTCTGTTGAAACAAACGTATCTATCTATCTACCCGCTGCAATCTGGAATTTTTAATGGGGATGGCATTCTGCACATTCTTCTTGGCTCTATTCTTGTATAGTGGTTTTACCTAAGCAAAACTGCTTTCACCAGACAGAAACTTCAATTTCCATTTGTATGTGTGCTGAACATTCGTAATCGGATACTTTTAGGCTCGTCATTCCAATCATTTTAATATTATTCACCTCTTTTGTGATGGATATAATACTATTTTTTAAACTATTAACTTATAAATTTGTTATATGAACGTAATACAAAGCTGTATTTTACTATACACGGATGACTATTCAGTTCCAAGTTGAATTAGTAGTATAGTAATAATTGCAATAATAACATATATTGATCATGAAAGTTTACAACCATCATTTACTTTAACTAAATTGAAACATTTTGAATGTTCGACCCAGAATATGTCTGTATCGTTGTTTGATGTTTACATTTGTTTCATTTTTCAATCATATACATTTGCAGCACGATGTTTGATTGTATTTCTGCTTTCATCTAGTGTGACAATTGAAACCTGAGTCTAGTTAAGCATATGTTCAAAAATATCGTTTTATATTTGATTTCACAACGGTCAAATATCTGTCTGTTGAATTTTGTGTGACGCCCTCCGGGATTTTAATAAATTTGGAAGAGGAAGATCAAACTAGTTTGATCTTCATCTTGAAACACGTGTCGAGGTGTTGAAATAACGGTTTGGTATAGGGAAAAAACTTCAGTAATATTCATTACTACACCAAAGATTCTAAGCAGTGCATCACAAGCACATGAAATTCATAATGAACGTATATTTTTGAAGAATAATTCAAACATGTTGCATATGGCTCAAGTGCGACTCTGTCCATTCACGAATGAGATGTGAATGAAGTATCCGAGCCAACTCGGGAGATATCACTAAGAAACATTGTAGTAATGCCGGATCTTCGAACTGGGATATTCGCGAAAGAATTATTTCAACAAACTGGAATACAAACATTCATCGATGGTTTATGAGAGATTCAAATGCAACAAGTACTTATTAAATACAAACCGACATCGATGGTTTATGAGAGTTTGAAATGCAACAAGTATTAAAGGTTAAGCCGGCATCAATCCATATAAATGCTCTTTTGACACCTGTGCTAGAAGAAATGGAATTGAATTCAAGAGAAATTACTTCTTTTCGAAAAATCAACTCTGAAAAAAACTCAACGAAAAAACGGAGAAAGTTAGTCACCGTGTTGTTACAACAGTGGAGAACCAGGTATCTGTGGATAATTTGTTACAAATGATCAATCTTTCAAATTATACAATCAAGAAGTGGCGTAAATGAGGAGAAAGAGAACCAAATATAGAACAACTTTTTTTTCAGGTGTTCAAGCAACTGAAAAAAAAAGAAGACAAATCTCCAAAACTGGAGTCGATGTTATTGACCCTGAATAAGATAACAAGACATCGGAAGATAATGATTCAAAGTTGGTTAGAATTGGTTCAGAAATGGCGTTCGATTGAATGGCAGTGAGTTCAAGCTTTGAAGAAAGTTTGAGGATACTGGAACTTCTTATATCTAATCAATGACTGTTGACATTGCAACTGGATGAGGCCACATTGGAAAAAATCCATTAAAGAAACTCTTTCCACAACAGGCTAAAATAGTGTCCCTTGACGAGCGTTTTGATAACCAAATCAGCATCATTAGGAGATGATGCGGTAAAAATGTTTTCAATAGATTGAAATAAGGGTGAGATGAGTGTGAAATTTATTTATAATGAATTCATAGGCGGTAATTGTTTTGTACGTCCCAATAAAACAATTTCACGAGTTTTTGGTATGAACTGACTATAGTGATAATTATATTTTGTCATTGCCTTTGTCATTGAAATGTTATATGTGACCTACATTGGAAGTTCTGTCATCTAAGACGTTCAAAGTCGAGAAAAATAGTTTTAGATTGCGTGCAGGATGACAAACCCAACATCCAGAGATAGCTAAAGATTTTGTCATTTCTTACATTTTCATCGAGGCAAAATTGTCACATATGATTAATGTACGATTCGTTAACACACCCAGTACTCAGCTCGAGCATAGAACCGCGTCGGGTTTGTCGTCTTTGCCCTGGAGTCTGAGGTGGTTGTGGTAACGGTGGCACTGACATTTGTTTATGAAGTACGCCTAGAGGATCGCTATCTGTATGACTATCTTCTATGAAAATTACTGCATTTCTTCCGGCGGAACCTCTTCTCTCCTTTTGTGGGGTCGACTCAGTGCTACAAGACGGTTCGGAGCTGATACTTTCTCTTCTGAAGAGACCGATCACAGAAGAACGGGGATTCTCTAAACCACCTGAAAAAAGTATTCAGTTGAAATACATTTATTTCTGATGTTGCAATCAAAAAAACTTTTTAACTCGTCTCGAAATATCAATTTATTTGAAAAAAAAACTATATTAATTAAACTCACTTATTGATTTCAGTGTGTTGTGGATAAACAAATATCATTCAACCTACTCCATGAATAGAATTCAAAATGTAACCAACCAAGGGGGTCGCCAGCTTATGACTAAGGGGTTGGCAATGGGGCAATATTATGGAGGCTAAAAAATATGAACGCCTGGTACAGTCGAAAGCATGAAGCGTTACATTTTGGAAGTCTTTGCCTCGATGACGATTGTAATAAAAACGGTTCTGATATCAATGTATAATAACTAAATCAAACTTTTAAACATAGCAATAATTATTTATTTTAACAAAATAATATTTAATTAAAACATAACCTGCGGGGATTTTTTGCAAAACTTTCAACCACTTTATCATTAAAATTATTTAGGTTTTTATTCATTATAGCTCTGTGTACACATGGCCATACCATTATGGCGATCTTCTGTCATGGTGCTTCTTAGCCATGTTTTCAGTCTTCTGAGGCTGCTAAAGGATCGCTCTCTTGTAAAGGTCGTGTATGGTAAAGCGATCAAAATTTTCAATGCTTTTTCCGTTTCAAGAAAGAAGGAATTTGTTTCTTTAGGGCATCAACAACCGTAACATATTTTAGATTAAGCCTATCGTGTCATAATTGCTGCCAAAGTTCGATTTCATTCTTTATGTTTGGTAAATCATAAAACTGGGCAATAGATTCACAAGTTTGTTTCAGAGTTTCAATTGTCATTTTTTGCATCTGGGCCGGGTGTAACTTAGATAATGCGAATGATGGCGTGTTTTTTTCAGCAAAACGTACTTCAAGGGAGGTAATTATTGAATCCAAGTATGGTATTACTGAATACCTCTTCCAATATTCTGAAGGGCTTTCTGCTGGATGCTTACTTCTATGGCGTTGTTTCCCTGTAATACGCAGCATTGATGTAATGTCCTCCTTCAGTCCGACTTTCTCCGCAGTAGCAGTAGCTTCCTTTATAATTTCGTCTGTCACTTTTTCCGGATTTTCACGGTAGTTTGGACCACGTCCAAAGCTACAGATTGGAGTACGTTGACAACGGGTTACATCAAAGCCGAGTATTTGGCTACCAACATAATCCCGAGAATGAAAGAAATTCTGGAAGTAGCCGCATGCACTTGGAAGGCACTTCTCCGAGTTGCACTATTTTCTTCCTGAGATAATGTTTGTAAGGCTTCCAGAATTATTGGAAGATTTTCTTTAAAAACTCTGATGGTTTTGTGTTTCTCACTCCATCTTGTCTCGCAAAGTCTGGAAATATTAGGTATCAACTTCCTCTTCAAAACTGATTCCCGAAAAAAGTTTATAGTATCTTTGGTGGTTCCCATGGCATTTCTAATTTCAGGAAGTGAATTTAGATCATTGATAACTAGATTCAGTTTGTGGGACGAGTAATGAAAGTAGAGGGCTTTGGTGTACTTTTTGCGAAAGATCGCTTGTACCCCGTACCCCTCCGTTTTTTCCTGACACCGTTGAACAACCATCAAAACCAAAACCCACGCATTTATTTATATTCAGATCTTCTTTTGTCAAACACTCATCTATGCTATGTGCAATCGATTTCGCATCCAAATCTTTCAGCTCAATGAATCCGACAAACATTTCTTGGACTTCCTGTGTTTCTTCATCAAAATATCGCTTTCCAATCGATAGTTGTTCAGTGCCAGAAATATCAGCTATTTCGTCTACTAGCACACTATATGCTGCCGCTTTTTTCACTTTTTTCATAATATCAGCCTTAATAACGCTTCCACAAATACCAATAATTCAATTTTGGATATCCACTGAACGGTAGCTTGCATTCATTTTCCCTTGCTCAATGTGTTTCTTCAAAATCAAATTTCCCCCGCCAATTCGCAGCCTATATAAATCTTTGAGGATATCTTCATCATAATGTTCACCTCTGAGTGCTAAGTCGTGTGACCGGCAAAACATAATGCAGGAAATAATAGATTTTATAATTTTGTGATTTCCTTCAATAATTCCCTGGGAATATTTGTTCAGTTGCAAATCGACAGGCACACCTTCGAGAAAATATTTCGCAGCTTTTAATGCCTCCTTATGAAAGTGAGTTACAATGTGCTTTTTGCACTTCTCGTGAATATCTTTGAACTTATAAAAGGGCCTTATAGTAAATGATCCCAATATGCCTCTAAATGAATTTGGATTTGGTGGGAAAAACGTACAATATTTACAAAATAGTCGTTTTTGGCGCCTGGAATATACCAACCACGGAGAGAATGTTTCCAACCAATTATGAAATAGCTTTTCCACTAAATAACATAATATTCCATAATATAATGTAGTAATCGAATGCTCTCACACATACATAACCCTCTCCTTTTCGATGTAACATTCGTACGATAAAAGTTTTGATCATTCACCTATATGAAGAGTAAATAAATGAACTCACCATCAATAGAACCTCTTGACATGCGTTTTCCAGTATCAGAAAAAATGCTCTCATCTGTAACTAAAGAAAAACATTCAGTGCTCTTCAAAAGGAAAGATGAAAATGTGCATCGGAGAAAGTAAAAGCCAGTACCATGCAGCAGATAGCCTAAGTGGAAATATCAAATAACATGATATTATCCTAACTCATACTAATATATTCGAGCGACTATGAACATGGTGGGTGGCTACATATTTGTGAACTACTCGCATAACAAATCCTAGCTTGCAGTGTATGATTCAAATATATAAATGGAAAACCATTTATCATTTATCAAGTATAAGGAAATACTCAATTTATTTTAACACTTATTCACTTGAAGAAACTCATATTATTATTCGATAGAGAATAGGAAAAATTGGCAATGTATTGATTTTTTTATACTAACTGTTGATTGTTCTCGTTAGGAATGTGTAATTTCCATATATTGATATTCAATTTTAATTGGACTTTTGTTAGTAATCGAGAAAAATGGTAGAATCGAAGATCTTCATAAACGTTCATATAACAATCATTCAGCTAAACAGCAACTGGATAGAATTTAATAATTGAACAACAAATAATAATATAATGTTGGAATAAAGTATCATCAACATCTCGTAAATAATGGTAAATAATGGTAAAATGATGCAATTAATATAGAAAACATAAAATTAGAAACAAATCATTGTAAATGTACTTAATTATTTCCAAAATTCAATATTTCTTTCAATAAAAATTCTTCTGAAAAGGTTTACATATTTATAAATAAAACTTTCTCAGTCATTAGATTTTGAGACTATCCAAAAACTGAGAAACACGTTAACTTTAGCTACGGTAAAATCAAGTCCTTGGAAGTCGTGTCCTCCCCATAACAAGTGGGATGTTAAAAATTTCAAATGAGAATAATAGTCGAGTGACACTTAGGTTTTTCATTTTTGTATCCAACCCTGTAACATTCTCACAACGATAAGCAATATCAGAAGAAACAAAATAATTTTTTAATTTTGTATTGAATTCAGAAGTGAAGAAGCAAAACTAAATAGAAAAATTAACTAGTTAACTAGTTCAGTGATCCAATAATTTTTCTGAAGAAAGGTTGGTTGGGCTAAGAGGATCAATTTCTTCTTAAAAAAACAATTGTTCTCTTGTCAACGTTTCGAATTTAAGTAAATTCTGTCTTCGTATTGATATTACTATTTTAAAAACCATGTGACATATAAGATACATTTAAGAAAATAAAAAACATTGCAACAACCAAGTTTTCGAGACAACATCAACACAGAACGACATGAAACAGAAAAACAAACAAACACATGTGTTTCATGTCGTTATGTGTTGATTTTGTTGGTTGTTGCAACGTTTTTTATTTTTTTTTAAATGTATCTAATATGTCTAACGGTTTTTAAAATAGTAATATTATTACGAAGGAACTAATTTTCGAACACTAAAGAAGAATTTAATTATATTTGAAACGATGGCAAGAAAACAATTAACACAAACGAAGATTATTTGAATTTATTTTGTATTTACGGAGAATGTGATAAAATTATTTCAAGGACAACAGATATTCTAAATACTTCAAATACTAAATACTTCAATAATTCGACTGTAGCTTTACGAAAACCGACGTTATCTTATATCATTTTCAAAGCTCTATTCTGAATGTTTTGTGAACCATGAAACTTATTCCATTCAGTAATACACCTGGGTTGAATAATAATTTAAATGTTTCATTTTTTCTAAATGTCCCTATTTTCAAGGATGACAAAGTCTAATTTTTTGGTCAATTTTTCCTGAAATGTATTCCAAGCATTTGAATTTGTCGAAATATTGCAATTTCGAAAAATGGATCGAAATAGATTTTGAACGTTGTTTTAGATATTCAATTCAGAGCAGTAACTATTCGCTTAATAAATGAATATATTCATTTAGCTGTCGTTCTTGAATGAATGACGACGTGAAAATTGTGTGAATAAGAGATTTACGAGGTCCGACCTTTCAACGTGCGATTTATAGTAGGTATCAGACGGTTCAGAAAGAACAACTATTGTTTAGGGATCGATCACAAATTCAAAAACGCTTAATTTAATGTGTAGAACTAACCACTCATGCTAACCAACCAACTACCGTCTGAACGATTGAATGGTGATAGCATTTCAATCTTTTCATTCACTTCCAGAATTCCGTAATAATCAAAAATTTTACAAATATTATCAATATACAAAATTGAAATACAATGATTTTACAATATTGGAACATTTTGTCATTAAATCTTGTGACTGAAAAAGTTGTTCTCACAGCAAATACTACATCGACGGTTTGGGTCTTCGGTTTTTTTCCATAGGACGCGGCTTCAGTCTTATTCGTCGCATTGAATGATCTCATATAAGTGCAATTCAATACAGGTAACCAGACTTCATTTGTGTTAATTTCACCTTTCTCTCTTTGAAAATTATTTCTG